AGCTGCGTGACACGATCCTATTGAGAGAGCCAGGAACCAGACTGTGCTGAGGCTCGGACTGTGTGATGGGCGCCGATCATCGATTTTTCACTTGGTTAACATTAACAGACCTGGTAGACGAGCCAAACAGAGTGGAGGAATACGCCTGCGTATCTAAGCTGACGAGCCAGTGTCTGTTTGGGAACCCATGCCAGGGGTATCCATCCCACCTTCAGTTGCTTCATAAAGGGCCGCGCCGGGGATCACGGCGGAAAGTCGACCGGAAACGATGCAAAAATCAGATGGCTAGAATGGCTAGCCCAACGGCAAAGCAACCACCCCTGCTACCGGCCCAAGGTGATGTACGACATGACAGGGGTCAAGCAGAGATGGGCCCGTCAACTTACAGACGCACATCTTCGGAAGCGAACGAAACTTATCAAATCCATTGCGGTCTTTGCCATTGTTTGGGACACGTCCAGGATGCGAGAAATAATCCCCATTGAGTTGCATTTGTGCAGGAAAGTCCGGCTCATTTGCTGTTCGATGACGCTGCTAGGATGCCCGCAAATATCGTGGCGTTTGATATCGAGGGCTCCAGACATTCCAGCGAAAGACGTTACCAGCTGATGGTGCAGATATCTTTCATTTCCTCACAGGTAAATATCTTGCAACGCCATAATGGAACCACTGGGAATGAGTCTGACATGGACGAGATATTTGTCAGAGCGGACTTTTCGCCGGCTGCACAGGACAAATTGAATGCTCGAGAAACATAAGTGATAAATTGCGCCACTTATAGAGCTCTGAATATATGGCAGGCATTACTAGATGTACTAGGCGTAGGACAGCATCATACGAGGTGTCAGGAGCTGCATTCATGCCAAAACCATCAAAACCCGACATGTTAGATGCCTGACGACCCAGACAACGAGCTTACTCAACAAGCAGCTATCCGGCACAACATATAGGGAGCGGGGGACATGATGGTTGCGGCGGAGAGAACTGACCGTCCGTTCCGGGGTAGCATCGCGGGTGTGTCAGAGAGGGAGGGAGGGCCTTTTACCTACTACGTACCTGGCGTCTGCGGCACCAGCCTAGCAGTTGCTCCAATCGATTACTCCAGAACGAGGCGGCCGTGGATTGAACCCTGCTTTCAACATGCAGCCATACCTTAATGTGTGCTTCATTAATGCACGGGGAAGAGGCCGGTGAGATTCCGCGCCGAACAAGGGTGAACGGTACGGGCTTTCCTAGCGGCCGAAGGAAGGGCACAGTTTATGAGGCTGTCCCTTCTGCCTGTACCATTGGGCTGTCACCGAATAGCTTTCCAGGGGCATCGGCGTGGAAGTGATATCCGGGGTCCAGAATGTAGGCCAGGCCAGGACCATTGACACGAATGGGTGTGCACGAGAAGGGAGTTGGTGTGGGAAGACGATGAAAAGGTTGACAGGTGCAGCAAAGTATGTTACTTTGGCTCTGCGTGAGGCAAGATGCGGATGTCTTGCAGCTTGTCGAACCAAGGTGATGTGATGCAATGCGTATCATGGTATCGGTGGGATATTGCGATGGTCATTGGTGTTGGCCAGGTCTCCACAACCGTAGTTACGTTGAACAGAGAGCAGCCCTGACTAGCCAGGCAACGATGGTCGAGGCGAGCTAGATCGGAACTTTGAGGACCAAAGGTCTATCTATATGATACGGGCCAGGTTGGCGGGGGTGTTTGTGTTGTGCATAGTGTACCTAGTGTTGAACGTAGCAGTGACCGACCCGCGAGCACAAAGACTTAAACGGCAGGCAAATGCAGTGCTGCTGCAGCCTCAATCCTTGGAAGCGTTCTGTTTGGCCGGTTCTGAAGTCCTGGAGCTGCAAATGCGGATGCGGACCATTTGAGGGAGGAGCCATTGCAGGTTGCCAGGTGTTTGAGCTGCTACATCGATGTGCATACAATGCAAAGGGAACACAGAGTTCCGAGCTTCAAGCAGAAGCGGGGATCGGTGATGGATGGTGGCCGCTTGTGTGCCGGCCAGCGAGATGTGACTCCAGACCCACGCCGGCAGAGACGATAGCGAAGGATGAAGGCGAGTGGCGTCCAGGTCGAGACCCAGGCCATACCGTCCACGGAGTTAAAAGGGTCCAAGGCTGCCAATAAAAAGTGGCCGTGTTCTTAAGATTGATAGACAAGGTCTGGTGGTGTGTGTGTGTGTAGGTATGTGTGTGTGTAGGTATGTGTGTGTGTAGGTATGTGTGTGTGTAGGTATGTGTGTGTGTAGGTATGTGTGTGTGTAGGTATGTGTGTGTGTCAAATAGTAGAAACAATGGCATTGATATTGATAATTGACGAGGAATGAAGCAGGGGGTATGTGGCTGAAGGATTATGTGATTAAGGATTATGTGATTCAGCGACCAACAAACACAATCAGCATAGACGCGCCATGGCTGACAGAAAGGGGAGAAGCAATTAAGCAGAGAAGCGAGGCACAACCGGTCCGTTGTTCGTTGTCGCTCTTGCCATGAGGTGAGGTTGGAGAGGTGGTTGAGGCGAGGGGCAAGAGACAGAAAGTAGCGGCTACCTCGAGCTTTGCCGCCTTTGCGAACAGAACAAGCGGGTGCCAGTTCGTACCGACTACCATGGAGTGGGCCGGTATGGATCCTCTGAACGGGAGGTTAAAAGCGACGAACCAGTCAGATCAGGCGGCATGGAGATCCCTGCAATGCACCTGCTGAACACAAGGCACATGCGGCTCCGGATTGGCCCCATGCAAGTTCTGTAAGCGCCGTCACCCTTTCCTCGGCGCGTAGATTGTTCAACCCCAGCTCCCTGTCGCCAGTCCACTTGTCCCGACTCCCTCCTTTCGCCTCCTCCCTCTTTCCGTCTCTCCCCTCACCCACCGTGCTTCGCCAGCAACCAGGTGCAGGTGCAAGGCAGGTGCAAGGCAGGTGCAGTCAGGTGCAGGCAGGAAGGGCCTGCGCGCTCTTCTCTTCCCCCAACCACGCGCTTTTCCTCACTTCCCACCGTTCTACCCACAACGACCTCGCCTCTGCCAGACTACTTACCACGCCTTCGATAGGCTCTCGAGCCCGTCGACGAACCTATCCGAGACCCGTAGCAGCTAGTCATCCATGGCCCAGGAGGCGAATCAAGCTGGTTTGTGCCAGGATTCACCACCGTCACCACCGCCGGGAAAGAGGGGAGTCATGCCACTCGTCCCTCTGTGCACATACTACGCATTTAACATTCCACAGCAGTCCTGTAAGGTACCTTGGCGCTCGTCCAATGCTTCAGTCTACCACTCGCTGCATTGATACCGCGAAGCAAGAGTCAAATCATCATGGGAAGTCGGCGCTGGGACATTACAGGCGAGACACGCTTGCTGGTGAACAGCCGCCCAAACCAGACCTCGCTACGCGACTCAAGGACCAAACGATTAGAATTTCCATCTGTTGGTTCATCATGCTTCCCTGTCTGATAGATCGTTGAACAGGACGACAGCTCGACCGTTGTTGCAATAGCCGGGCGGAGTCGAACTGGGCTGCGCAAGCGATCCGACCTGATAGGCCGATAATCTTGTCCCCCGCGCACGCACATACGCACGCAGGACGAGCAGGCATTTCAAATAGCAGCAGCCAGCCAGCCAGCTGCTGCAAGCACGACTTTGGCGAGGGAAGACATGGGCTAGCACTGCGTAACAAGAGGCCCAACGGCCTAATTATGGCAAAAATATTGGTGTACTGCCCTGCTCGGACACACTCTGCTTGCCTCGTTGCTCGACAGCTCGCCCAACCAGGCCGCTTCTCCATTCGACCATCTCCACCAAGCCATGATCCCCAGTCTGCTTGTGCATATCCCCCAATTCTGACCCCTCGGTAAGCGGAGGCTTGCACCTTGCACACCCTGCGCCGTCCCCTTCCACTGGCTTACCAGGGCCCCTCGAAGACAAGCACCCCGGTCTGGTCTCCAGAGCCGTGCAGCGTCTTGGCTCGTTCAGATGAGCCGGACCGTATCCGCTCCCAGATTCCTCGACCGTTCAGCGAGAAGCTCTAATTTTATGGTCAAGACTGATCGTCCAGTGACGGGTCAGCTCCTCGACTTAGGCGCCATGCTCCATGTTGCTTGACTCTCTTCCTATTTGGCTCCATCACACCCCGTCCACACCCTCTTCGAGTAGTGACCTCTTTTTGCCTTCCATCGTCTCTTGATTCTCTCCTTTTTCTTTTCCCCTTCGTCGTCTGCAAGAAATCCCTTTCCAGCGTACAACCTGTGTTACACGCTGACAGAACTTTCCTGCGAGACAAGCGCCCGCACACCCCCTCGAGTAGAGCTTATCCAGTGAGATCTCTCGACCCGTCCAACAAGCACCGCCTTGAGCAGACATAAACATATCGCTTCACACCCTCCGTCTGCGTCTAAAGCGTGCTCCTCTCCACAACACGTCCCGGCAGAGTGTAACCGTCTTTAACCCGTCGTCTCCCAGACTTTTTCTCCTCCTCCTTTTCCTGTCCTGCCTATATTGGCAACTCGCTGGAAAACACCCTCTCACCCCAAAAAATAACCTAGAAAGGAATCCCGCGCTGCAAAAGAGAGACACCAAAGTACAACGGCGCAACCAGCAACAGTAGCACGACATCACGCAGCCCATACCGCTACTCCCAAGAGAACCTACGAAGAGCATCCCGCGAGTCTGGAATCCTGAAACGTGGAAGGACAGCCGGTCCGGGAACGGACATTGGGAAGTGCTTCATGTGATAGCTGAAGTGGAAGAGGTGTAGCTTCCCGACTGCCTTTGGTTTGTCGCCACGAAGCAACCGGACGGTGCTGTGATAGCCACGGATTGGTGAGTAAACCTGTCTCACAAAGGTCGCCCACTTAATTCTTGGGTTGAGAGGGCTTCAGAAGTTGCCGGCGTACAGGAAACTGTAGCCGTCTGCCTGCCTAGAAGCTGTACTCCCCAAATGCGGCCTGCCGACTAACATCGCACCAGATCGAAATCCGAAAAAAAAAAAAAAGATATAGTGCCATCATGGCCACATCCGCAAGAAACCGGACGGCTACCATCAGCTCCGGAAAGTCGTCGCAAAGGGGTCGGAGTAATGAAATGCAAGACTTCACGATGTCGCAGCCCAACATTATGCGCTACTTCGAGCCTTGCGCCGCCACGGCGTCCATGTTCCTCTACGCGCAGGGCTCATCTATCGTCTGCTGCCACCACGACACTCTCACAATCGAGAGGAGATTTTCGAGGCACTCGGATGAGGTTCAGCTGCTCGCAGTCGACACCCAGAGCGAGATTGGAGCGGGAAGGTTGGTAGTCAGTTACGATGCCGGGCAGACAGCAATTGTCTGGGATATCATGACGGGCGACGAAGTGGCTCGCTTTGCTTCATACGAGCATCTGACGACTGCCTCTTGGATGCGCAACGGCAACGTCGCGTTCGGTAAGTTTGCATCCGGAGGTGTTTAATTCTGAGGCTGCTAACAAAGTCCTTAGGCAACACTCAGGGCAACATTATTCTATTCGAGCCCACCACATCAGAACATATCTCCTCAAGAACGATTGACCAGATCGCAGTGACAGCACTTGCACCGGCCGCAGACTGTCGGACGTTTGCAATAGGGTAGGCTTGGCACTTACCACAAACCTGATAAGAAGATGCTAACCACATATAGTTACCAAAACGGCTCTCTGCTGGTCGCAACTTTGCAACCGCGATTTACTATTCTACACAACCTAGGTACCTCTAGAGCGCCTTCGCCAATAGTCACGCTGAACTGGCATGCCTCTTCGTCTCGGCAGAAGTCGGACATGTTGGCGTCCCAGACGCACGATGGTGATCTACGAGTCTGGAGCGTCTCCAAGTCATACAGCAGTGACGACCCCGCCAAGGTCGTGAGAATCCTCAAGCGCACCGACAACTACCAAAGCGGACCCAACTGGATGGGCTGGTCGAAGAACGGCCGAATCATCCAGTATTCCGACTCGTACGTCATTCCTTGCCACTTGAACATACGCGCGCGCTTAGAACTTGTGCTGACGTTGATCATACTAGGGAAACACTGTCGTGGGATGTTCGTACCAAGCATGTTACTTGGGACAGTATCCCAACGCTCGAGCATGTCAGAGGCCTTGCCGTGTACGGGCCCGGAGCCAGCCTCTTCACACTCGGAGCCAACAACACGGTTCAGCAGTTTGACCTCAACACGCCGTCGATCATTGTGGCCAACGTCCAGCATCCCGCTAACCTGTTGCCGCCATCGCCGCCGGTCTCCATCGAGGAACAACAAGGCCAGAAGACCTCGACAACAATCGCCACCGATTCTGATGCTACCTCTGGCACGATTGAATTGGGAATCTCCGAGAGCGACGAAGATCACCTGTCTCCGTTCGATCGCATTGTCGGTCGGAGTGACACGGGCACCCCCAAGGCGCCCGACCCCTATGATGCTGACACTGCAAGCGCGGCCTCTAGCCGCAGCGGGCTCTCTGCCATCTCAAAGTCCTCCGGAGGGTCTCGGACACCCGGTCGCTACCCTTCGTCGGCTATATCACGAGGCATGACCGAAAATACATACATCTCGGCCGGTTCGTCCTTGAGGTCATCTGCTGCACCGTACCAGGAAAGAGACATGTATTCCATGAGCGGAACGTCGATGTTGACCGGCACATCAATGTCTTCGTACCGTTCTCGTCGCTCGAAGCCCTCCCGCCTGCGAAATGAGGTTATTCCAAGCCCGGTTGACAGCAAGGTCCATGACCTCTTCAAGTATACAAGAAGCCGACTTAGTGATATTCCTTACAAGCACCCAGTCGCTACTGACAATAGCCGTCTGACGAACGATGATCTTCGCAAGCAAATGCTGAACACCATCTTCGGATGGAACAAGGGGATTGAGGATTTGGTCCGGGAGGAATTGAGCAGACACAACGCCGGTTCACCGGGCCGTATCCTGCTGATGAGGTGGCTTGGAGATATTGATGCTGATGTTATGGCAGCGAGCTCAGCCTCCATGACTTCTTCCGACTGGATGTTGCTAGCCCTCAGCGGTATTGGAGGTCAAGCCTCGCAACACAAGCTGGGACGCGCTTATGTCCAGAGACTGTTGGAGCATGGCGATCTTCACGCTGCGGTCACTATTCTGATTGGAATGGGCGACTACAATGACGCCATCGAGATCTACATCTCGCACAAGAAGTACATGGAAGCTCTCATTCTGACTTGCCTTTTCTACCCTGCTGTTTGGGAGCGGCAGTCAGCCATAATCAAGAAATGGGGAGAGTGGGCTGTCATGCACGGGCAACAGCAGCTTGCAGTCCGATGGTAAGTTGCCCATCTAAGCAGGATGGGTGTGCACTGCTAATCACCAAACAGCTTCGCTTGTACTGGGGCCGAGTCCGATGAGCCCTGGACGTCTCCTTCCGCCGCCCAAATTACCTTCCAGAGCATCAACCAGAACCTCACTGAGAGCATCCCCGAAGTTCTATCGCCGCCGTTGTCGCCCCCTGGTATCAACCTCGGGCCTCAGAGGAGCATAGCCAAGACGTCCGCCCTGAAGCTCATTACGTCTTTCGGCGAGCAAACCGGAAAATCGAAATTCTTTTCTCAAGGAGATGGAGGGCAGACACCCATTGCCGCCGGTCCGACCCCTATTGCGGACTCTGCTGTTTCTCCCGGTGGCTTCGACTTGACCACCGCTTTCATTCGCCCATCGAACCGCAGTCAGTTCAACACGCCGAACTCAGCGAGATCTGGAGCATCTGGTTTCGGTCGCAAGCGTCTCCCTTCCATCGGCGAGATCCCTGGAGACTTGTCCCGTGACCAGCTTCAGGCCGAAGGCGAAGAGTCCAGGCGCGTCATGCAAATGCGCATGTCTTCTGCCGAGCAGGATAACCTCGCGGCCGGCCTGAACCTGCAGAGGGCCGCTACCGCAAGCCCCATGATGATGCGTGACCAATACAAGAAGATCACGGTGCGGACAAGGGAGGCTCCTCCGCCGTCTCCTGACGCCAGGATGCTTGTGAAAATGGAGGGCAACATGGCTCAACGCAACGGTTCTCGGGATCGCAAGCCAAAGGGCCTCCATCTCGAACTCGCGGGTCTTAATAGCATGGCGAATGAGGTTACCTCACCCGAACAGTCTGTTTCATCCTCGACTCGCTTCCATTGGCCCTCTCGACGTCGCGGTCCGGGATCCGTCGCAAGCTCGGCCACATCTCAGTCCACCACGGGCAAAAGTCTCCGCAATAACACCAACGGCGGGCGACAGGACTACATCCACAGCCTCGACACTGCCCAGCGTCTTCAGCAACGCAAACAGAGAAGCCGACACGCAAGCCGCGAGGGTAAACGGGACGGCTCTCGTGGCCGTGATCGCGATCACAGCCGCACTCGTAAGACGACTTCCCGTGAGGCTTCATCGGAACGTGGCCGCGCCTCAAGCCGCAACTGGCCCAAGCCCAAGCGCTCGCCGACCTCTCCAATCCCCATGTCACCCGAGGACCTTATCAACTTGAGCACTCCCAAGATGCCCGAGGTTGTGGACCCTGCCACAGTGAGAAAGTCGAGCAAGAGCAGAAAGGGTACCAGTCGTACGTCCAGCCGAGGCAGCCAGGGTCGCGCCAAAAGCCCTGAGACTAGAAACCGCCCTCCTGCCCTCGAGCTCCGCGGCCGAAGCGCGGACCGTGGCGGCGGCTCCCATGCCCGGTCGCCCTCGTCGCCGCTTCCACTCTCAGCCAACCTGGTTCATTACCAAGGATCCGAAGATGAGGAAGATTACGTCAAGGCCGTCATCGCACAAGAGAATTTTAGGAACAGGCACAACAGGAGCACTAGTCAGCACGGATCCCGCAAAGCCCTTTCCCCCGAGCTCACTAGAGAATTTCCCCGACGAGACCGATCCGAGAGTCGCCGCCGTCAAACCGGTGAGGTCCCGGACCAGTCCCGCGATGTTGCGCCTACCCAATCAAAGTCGCGTGCCGCCTCTACCGAGCACGCCGGAGACCTCAAAGCCATGAAGGATGATAGACAACGCAAGAAGGAAGAAGCCGCGCGCGAGCTCGAGGAGCGCCGAAAGTCGCTTGCCCAGCGTCCGTCTGCACCCCCGATCCCCCATCCCAGTCAGATCCGCATCGGCATCGAACCGTCGTCCAGCGCCGTCGAGCTTCCCCCTCGCAGTCACACCGCGGACTCGACGCCGAGGAGCATGTACGCTCGCAGCAATTCCAACGTCCATATCGGGCTTCCTGCGACCCCAAAGGCCATGCGCCTCATCATTGAGTCCGAAAAGGACAGGAACAACGTCCCGGTGCCCCCGATCCCAGCGACCTTTGCGCAGCGTCACTCCCCAGCAACCTCTCCTCAGCATCAGTCTCCCAACAATAGTGACAAGGAGGCCGAGTCTTTTACTCTGCTCCCGCAGACGACCTACCAGCTGCCATCTTCGGTCTACCAGCCTCCGGCTCGTGGCATGATCCCCCGCAGCATGTCCGCCCCACCGATTCCTCCTGACGCCCCATCCCCGAGAGGACCAAGCTCTCACAGCAAGGGGTTGTCCCGTGGTCCTTCAATGAGAAGGGGCAACTTGCAGGAGATTCGCACCGTCGACGACATGATCCGCGCCAGGCGCGAGTCTCGGGAGAGCAACAATCACGGACCTCTCCCGCCGCCGCCTCCCCCCCCGCCAATGCTGAAGGAGCTGCAGCACCTCGCCATGCCCCCTCCCCCACCACCGGCACCTCTTCCGTATGCCGCTCAAAATAGCGCCGGCGGCCTTGGATCCGGCATGATCGAGATCATAATGGACGACGACGAGCCAGCTCCGGCGACCATGGCCGCACCCATGGACACTACCGTTCCGGTCCTCCCGCCGCCGGCCCCTCCGGTGTCAAAGGGCCACAGCCGCGGCCGCAGCTTCACTGAGCGTGACAACAGTATTGCCGGCCGCATCTCCAAGGCTACCGACCGCTTCCGGTCCGGCAGCCGTTCCCGTAAGGAACCCTCCAGCCGTCCTCGCGGACAAGATGACTACGAATACGCGCCTTACGAAAGCGTGCCGAACTACGGTCGCGAAGGTGTGCGGTCTCCCGTCATGGCGCAGAAGGGCCTGTCTACCGGGCTGCACCAGAGCGAGATGATCTGAACCCCCCCCCCCCCCCCCCCCCCCACCAACATCCCCTAATTATCATTACACACAACACGTTCCGACTCGTTGCATGGCGATAGGCGTTTTTCGATGAATCTTGATACCATTACTTTTTCAACCCACAGGCGGAACACGAACAAATCACACCCTGCGGCGCGGTGCGACCGTTGCCAGTAAGAACAATAGCCGATTCAGGAATAGCCTGTTCTGTATACTTCGAGCCTATCCTTCAACAATTTGCTAAGAGCGTAGGAGCGAACAGTTTTTACTATCTCTTTTTTTCGTTCTACCGCCTTCCTTCTGTGTTTGTTGATTTTGCTTGCATTCTTCCTTTCCTAAATAACGACTGATGATGGGCTGGATCTCGGAATGGAGGGGCGGGCGAACATAGCCGCAAGGCAAAATATATGAGCACACGATACCTGTTCCAGGTGGTGGTGTAGGTGACGGACGGGCCGGTCCTGGGAGGGAAGAGAAAAACAGAAAAGCCAGAGGATCTCAGGGTGACACCATCTTGTGGTGAGGCTGAGCGAGAGGAGAGTGTGTGGTGAGAGTGAAAAGAGACCGAAAAGTGCTGGAAACGCGTGCCTTACAATGTTGCCCCACGGCATCTTTGTTCATCTAGTTGAAGGGATGGGGTTTTCCCGTCTGTTTCTTTTATTATTTTCTTCTTCTTGTCGCTCGCTCTTAATGTCGTCTGACTTGGGAGCGGTTGACGTTTTTTCCTTTTGAGTAGATGTTGTACGTAGCTGCTCGTCAAGATGAGCCAGATGAGCCAGGTACATGATGAATACTAAGAATACAACCTATCCTCCGGCGCGCCTTTATAACTGTGACTTAAAGATATGAACCTAAGTCTTTTTGATTAATCCTGGCGACTGGATTAGAGGTAAAAAATAGGAAAGGGAAATGTCAGTAGCCAGGTTTGAACCCTGTGTGTAGCACTGTGCATACATCACAATAGTATCATCACAGCGCAGGCCGGCCAGCAAAAAGATTCAATCAAGTGATGATGCCAAAAATTGGAGTCGACATCTCCATCTTCAACCAGTACCCCAAGCCCCTAGCGATCGTAATCCAGTACGCCATGCGACGGTGAAGATACCTCTGCAGAGTGAAACCTCCCTCAAGTATTATCTTCATTGCTTAGGGCCACTGCAGCGATCGCAGGTTACCCATGCGAGTGAGTGGCCACCGCAGCATTCGCACTGGGCGCCGCTAGAGGGTTCCAATGTGTATGGGGTAGCGGAAGAAGAGTAATGAAAGCCTTCAACCATTTGACCATTACAGCCGATAATCTCTGACAAACTTTGTCTACAAGTAGTATTGGAAAGCGGAAGAGGGACGTGCACCCGCTTGATGAGGTAAGCGGGCCAGCGACAGGTGGGACACCTCCACGCTGCGTGCATGTGCCTGCGACGGGGGAGGTTTCCACCGAGCACCGACCTGAGAGCTATAAGCTTGTGTCTTGGCTTGTCTTCATCGAAGGTGAAGCCACGATTTTATCCTGCGATCCCAGAGCCCTTTTCGCCCAGGCTCCAATTGAATTCCTCGAGCTGGCGCGACTTTGTACACTCTCAATGGCACCCTAGCGATGACTTCTCGATACCACTCCGAACCCAGGGCCTCCTCACGATGCTCACAACCGCCCCCCGCCTCCACGTCCGGCGCCCCTCGCCAACAACTGCCGAGTTCACAGTCACGACTAGACCGCCCCAAACTCTAACCGTCCGTCTCCTCTCGAGCCTTCTGCTCGCCCTCCGCATTGTCGTCTTCCTCTCCTCGATCCTCCTCCTCCACGCCGCCTGGTCGCAGTCCCCCTACGCCGCTCCCTACTTCTCCCCGTCGCCGGCGAGGACCCCTGACGAGGCGTTCTTCTCGACCAGCGCCTTCTGGCGGGCCCTACACTTCATCCACGCCTCCGCGCCGGGTCGCCTCGCTCACTGCGTCGCCGCGTCCTCCGCGGTGCCCCTCCCCGCCCTCGTGCCCGGCTGCCTCCTTGCGGCCTACGCGACGCTGCGGCGCGAGCACACCACCGAGAGCCTGCTGGTCCTGCGCGGCCTGGGCATCCAGACGAGCTCGACGAGCGGGAGCTACCTCTCCGCCGCGGCGACGCGCTTCATACCCACGGAGAAGATCCAGGACGTGCTCGTCAACGAGGCCTTTCGCGGCTTCGAGGTGCGGTACTACCTGATCGTCATCGTCGAGGGCGAGGAGGACCTTGTCGTCGTGTTCCCTAGGCTGCTGCCGCGCAAGAAGATTGTCGAGACGGTGTGGAGGGGGGTTAGGGGATGCCTGTGGGAGGCGGACGGGACCGTCAGCGGGAATAGCAACACTAGGAAGCTGGACGAGAGGTGGCAGGGCGGAGTGTAGCCCGGGCCGCCAACATAGCCCCCTTTTTAACGAATTCATGATGTTCAATTTTTCCCTTTTTTTTTTTACTCGATTTTTTGTTTCGTCGCCATGTCTACGGCCTACTGCTACTCATCACCGTCTCCAACCGTCGCAGCAGCGGCGGCGGCGCCCGCCTGCTTGGCGTCCTTGACGACCTTCCTCCAATTCTTGGACTCCCTCATCGCGTCCGAGTCTTTGAACCCCTTGCGCTGCGCAAACCGGTTGTTGATCTCCTCGGGCGTCGGCGTCAGCTGCTTGTTGGCGATCGGCACGTACCCGCCCGCCAGTTTCCCCTGGTGGCCCCCCTGGAAAACCCGCTTCCCCTTGGTCTTGGCCTCAGTGCCCTGCACCTGGCTCGAGACGAGGTCCAGTAGCCGGTTGGCCAGCAGCTCGTCCATCTTCTTCTCGCGGTAGTGCGCCCACAGGCTCTCGACGATATCGGCCTCGCCGTGCACCCAGCGCAGGGCATCTTCGGCCCCGGCGGTCGTCCGGCTCTCGGGGTCGCCGGGGAACACGCAGTTCCAGAGCACCAGGGGTATCTCGTGGGCGAGGTCGTAGTTGGGCTTCCGGGGCGACTTTTCCACGTCGAGGAGCTCCGTAACGAGCTCCGGCCGCTCGAGGCGCTGGCCGACGAGGAAGAGGATCGTCACCATGTGCCGGATCTGGTGCCACAGGAACGCCGTACCGCGAATGTTGAACGAGTACACCTTGGGCAGCTGGCCGCCGTCGGCGGCGCTGCGCCCCAGGTACGGCAGCGCCGAGCCGACGTCCCGCACCTCCTCGACGCCGGCCTCGAACATGCGCCGCTCGAAGTTGGTGATCTGCTTGCTGCCGTCGACCTTGCAGAAGTTGCGGAAGTCGTGGTCGCCGACGAAGCGCTGCGCCGCCTCGTTCATGGCCTCGATGTCGAGGTAGCCCTCCCGCAGGCCGCTCGGGGTGCCGTCCGAGGTCGCGGCCGTCGGCGTGAAGGCCGGCTGCGTGAAGAAGTAGCGGTACTGCCGCTCCTCGCAGGAGAAGCGCGCTGAGAACTCCGGCGGCGGGGACGGGCACCAAGCGGTGATTCGGATGTCGTCCGGGAGGAGGCGGTTGAGCACCTTGATGTACTGGATCTCGTCGTTGATGTCGTCCCACTCCTTTTCGGGCTTCTTCTTCTGCTCCTGCGTCTGTTCCTGCTTCTTCTTCTCGTCCTCTTCGGCGGTCCCTGCCATCGCCGTATCCCCCTCTTCCGCCTCGGCAGCGACGGCTTCCTCCTCCGGCTTCTTGGGCAGCGGCTTGTTGCTCCGCACCCGCAGGGCGATGACCTGGCCAAAGGCGCTGACGCCGCGGTCCGTCCTGCCGCACTTGGAGTACTCGCAGCAGTCAAAGTTGACGACATCCGGGTCCTCGGGGAAGATGAGGCACGCCTTGGTTAGTGCGTCCCACAGCTCGCCCTCGATGGTCGGCAGGCTCGCTGAGTCAGCGTACTCGAAGCCGCCGTAGCGCTTCCCCAGGTATGCGAGCTTGAGGGCGATGAAGCGCGTCGAGTAGCGGGAGGCGTCTATCTTTTTGGCGTCCTTCTTCCGCTTCTTTGCCGGGGGCGGGGCTCCGCCGCCGGCGGCATCTGGCATCGCCGTGCCGGAGCCGGCGCCGGCCCCCGTGGGCTTGCGCGCCGAGGCGTCGTTTTGCTTTTCCAGCGCGTGCTCAAGCTGTCTGATGCGCGCGATGAGGCGGTCCTTCTCCCACGAGTGGTACCTCCCGCTGGCGTCGGCCATCTTCACGGCGGGAGCGGTGCTCAGGCGCCGGGTTGTTGCTGGCGTAGCGTGGTAGGGGTAAGTAAGAGGCCGGCGAGTGAGACGGCTGTGGTGATGGTTCCGTTGACTCGGTGGGCAAGAGGGTGGATTCCCTCGACGTTCGTGTAAGAGGCCGACTGAGCGTCTGGACAGGATCAGACTTGGGCTTCGCGGGCTTTGAAGAAAGAGATCCCTCAGTATTTCATGCAGGGGCTTCATGAAGCCCTCTGTTTCCCATATGAGTCCGAATTTTGGAGGGGTCGGCTTTTAGAGCACCGCCATGCGGGTACCTACCTTTCTTAATTCGTTAGCTGCCGCTTTGGAGGGGCAATGCCGCAGAGTCACAGTCACCGGCAACTTTTGGCACATGGCTTCTTTCCAAACTTTTTTTTTTCTCGCCCTGTTGAAAAATGGAGTGTGGCTTGTGCTGTGTGGCTGAGAGTCCCCACTCTCTAGACCTTTGCTACCAGTCGCTGCGCCATTTGTCACCAGACATCCGTTATCAGAGTGCCACCCGACGGCGATCCGGATCACCACAATAAGCGTGGCCCATCCAACATGGACGGAGACGCAATCAAAATCCTACTAGTTGGTGATGAAAAATGTGGAAAGACATCGTTCATCTCGTCCGTATGCCCTCGTGAGAATCCGACGTGAGGAGCCACAGCTAATGTCGCGTTGAACACCCCGAGTAGACGCCTGAGTGCACGCGAAGGAACCGGCCCCATTACGCTGCTCAGAGACATTGATCAACCATTTGTCTTCGAGATCAAGCTCGGCCAAAACCCGTACCGTTTGGAGTTCTATGATACAAATAGCCCCGAAAACTGGAAGCTCCTTGACCCCGACATCGTCATCTTATGCTACGACATCAGTCAGCGGCTCAGTCTCATCAACGTGAGGAGACACGTGAGTTCCTCGTCCCTCCAGCCCTTCACGGTCCATATCTAATATCCGAGAAAGTGGCTCAAGGAAGTTAAGCTGTCCTTCCGCAGACCTGACCGTCTGCCCATTCTCATGCTGGGTCTCAAACGAGATCTGAGATCCGAGGATGACCCCAATGGCATCATTTACCCCCAAGAAGCCTACCAGCAGGCGCAGGAGATGCGCATAGACAGATACATGGAGTGCTCTGCGGTAACGGGGGAGCTCATCAAGCTGGCGTTTGAGGATATCTGCAAAACGGCAGTGCTGACGCGGAAGGAGGCGGGCGGGCAGACGGAGGGCGGATGTGTCGTCATGTAGATGTTGTTGCTGTTGTTGTCTGCCAGTTGATCATTCGCAAGCTTCACCGCCGAGAAGGGGAGGAGACATCTAAGGGCAAGGCGTGATCTGGAGTGGATTGCGAAGTGCAGCCGGGGATGCCCTCCTAAGCGGCACCCTCGTCGACGGCCTCCTCCTGTCCCTCCTCTTGAGGGAACGTGCCGAGGACATCGGCAATGATGTTGACCATCTCCTCCTGCTGGTTCTCGTCGAAGCGCTCCGACATCTCTTCGATGACGGTGTTCAACGCAGCGACGGACGAGGGACGGAGGTTGAGGATCATGATGACCTCGCCCTTGGCCAGGTCATAAGGACGGAGCCTCTCCAGGAGCTGGGGGATGCAGCCCGGGTGGTAGGTGATGGGGTCCTGGCTCAACGGGTTAGGTGGTGTGCGCAGGTACTGAAGGAGCTAGACCGGATAAGTCAGTACCGGGTCTTTTACACAGGAACAGATACCCAAGACTCATTGGACTGTTTTGGTATTCTCGTTTGCATGAACATAGCAAGAGAAGAAACCCCAGAAACTTACCTCTCTTGCCAGTGCCTCCAGATTGCCAGGGCCGCGACGCTCTCCACGCTTCTTCTGGCCGAGCTTGCGTTCGTTCAAGTGCTGATAGACCTCGTAGTTGGTAAGAACGGCTGACTGAGCCTCGAGGATCTTCATCGTGAAGGTGAGCTTGACGAGCACGCAAGAAACCAGGTCAGAATCCCGGAGGCAAAAGTAGGCGAGGTGGTTGGTGTGCTCAGCGTGGGAGTACCCGGCGACGGGGTATCAGCAAACGGAGCTGTAAGCTTGCAAAAGGGCGGAAATGCAGGTTGCGCTTGATGTTTGGCGAAATTTGTAGGCTAAGCCGACAACGTCCCCTTGTCCCTGGTAGAACAGAACCAAACGGGAGTTAACAGGTCGGGTCGCACAACATTGGGCGACGTCTAAGGCGTCCTTTTTTTATTTGACCAGGGCTGAACTAACTCTGCAGGGGGGGGACGAATACAAACACAGGGAGGGCACTGTGTGTGGACTCCTTCTGTGCAAAGTCAGGGTCGGCGTGTGTGGGCGACCAGATATTCGGGCGCGAGACAAGGTGAGAAGGGTAAGGCAGCAATGTAACGTAATGAGGCAATCGGGGTTTTATTTTGAAATAAAGAGTTTGATAGCAAAAGAAGCGTGACGATACGGAAGTTAGCTAGGAAGGGTTGCTGTTCTGCCGCAACTCCTTGGATGCCCCGCGTTTGGCAATCACCTGCAAGAGTAGAAGGTGGTAAACAGAAAAAGAAAAGCAAATGTGGCTGCAGCGAGGCGGCCCAAGGTTCCCAATCGCAAAGCCCATTCCTACACCTGCCATGTGCCAAATTGTCGCAAGGTACGTACCGGATCTGGGATTGCGCAATACTAGGTAATGAGAGGGTGGTGTTTGGGCCTGAGGCCATTGGAGCCTGAGGCAGAGGGCCCACAGCCTTCAAGGGGGTTATTTTCCCCTCTTATTATTTTGCACAGAACTTAGCTTAGACACTATAACTTATTTACGTTTCCTACAGGGTTTTGTCCTATTTACTTTACTCTAATTGTTTTTCTAGTCTCCCCTTCTAGAAACAAAAGAAAGATAGGGCTGTTGCCTGCTTTTGCCTTGTTGAGTTAATTAACTTAAGATTCCTATGGTTGTAGATTAAAAACTATGCTTTTTGTTAGGAGCAAATAGCTAGAACTAAAGACTATTATCCTAGCTACTAATAACTATTAGCTCTAATTATCCCTTAGCAAGGCTAATATAGTAGACTAATAGTTACTATTTACACTATTTTACTCTTAGTTTAGTAATACTAGCCTAGATTTATTATCTTTAACTATAAGGCTACTATTAAAATCTAAATACCTCCTTATAACTTAGTTACTATTATTTAGAACTAATTACTAGTAACTTAGCTAGCTATTTACTGCCTTGTTAAAGTAAATATCTTTTATAGCGTTAATAAGTAAGCTAGTATTTTTACTATTTTCTTTATTTAGGACCCCCTTTTCTGCTCTAAATAATGCCTCTACAGGAGATAATATTATAGTACTTATTAAGGAGGCCTTACTATTCTAAAGAACTATAACTATTAAGAGTACTACTTAGTAATTTAAGGGCCTTATTCTTATAGAGTATATATAGTAGGTGCTAACTAAAAAAACGCTACTATTATATTATTAGTTAGTATTAACTTCTTAGTACTTACTTTCTTCTAAAATACTACCCTTAAACACTACTAACCTTATAGAGGGAACTAGTCTACTATAGACCTTATTTAACTCTTAATTCTAAAGATCCTAATTAAAGCCTTTAGCTATAGATTAAGAGAACATTTAGGAAGTTTATAATAGCAAAAAAGGCTTTTAATACCTTTATTAACTTAACTGTTAGTTTAGGACCTAAGTATAATAATATAACATAGGTAATACTTATTAGCTCTATTAGGACCCCTAGATTAGTTAGTAAGGTTATTAGTAGACTTTACTTTATTAATAGTAATTAATTTACTTTTAACGCTTAGTACTAGTTAGCCTTAATAGACACTAGACAGTATTACCTTTGCCTTTATAACTACTTATACTAAGTTTTACTAGCTTTTTAACCTTTAGTAGTAAGACCTTTATTATATAATAGTTATCTAGACTTTACTTTAAGTTTAAGAAGTTCTAAATTTAACTTTGCTTATTTCTAGACTAAGTTATTAGGACTATTAATATATTCTATAATAGTAAAGCTACTAGCTTCCTAGATAATTTAGGTTACTTATCTAACATTATTTAATCTACTTAATAAGGCCTAGTATCTAAGGCTAACCTTAATAAGATTAAGTTAGTACTAAAAGAACAGTTCCTACTATAGCTAAATAATAAGCCTAAGGAAACAGCTAATATCTAGACCCTTTATTAGGAATATAATAAAGCGTTACTTACCTATTATAATTAAGTATATACTTTCTTGTAATAAGCAGGTAGATAAGATCTAGTAGCTTCTAGTCTACTATCCCTAGCTAAGGTAATAGTTCTAAAGTAGTTAATTTAATAGTTTATAGAGGGCATTTATAAAGAAGACCTTAGGCGTATAGCTATTAACTACTCTACTAGTTAAGCTTCTAGCCTTTAAGAGTCCTATAACGCTATTTAGCTTATATAGTTAGTTCTAAATAATTAGTAGTAATAGAAGTAAGCTAGGATTAAGTGTAATTATACTGCTGTCTTAGAATAGATCCTAATTAATTAGAACAATAGTTACCTAATTAATAAGATTATTTAGTACTAGTATAGGTTACTAGTAGGTATACTATTATTAGACAGGGGGATCCCTTTGCTCCCTGCTCCTCTAATCTTGTATTTATCTTACTAAGTTACTATACTACTAGCATAAATAGCTTCTGCCTAAATTCCTCCCCTTCCTTATAGTTATAGTTAGGCTTACTAATCCTATTAGGGAAATAATAAGACAAAATAGCTAGGACACCTATAATAGACGTACTTATTATTAGCGCCTAGTGCTTAGCCCTATATATTAATAATAAATAACAACTAGAGACAGTAAGGTCTAATAGATAATTAGAACTAAGGGTATTAGAGTGCACTAATAGGCCCCTAGGCGTCTAGACTATATAGACTGCCTTAATAAAGCTAGCCCTATAGAGCTTAGGGATAGTTTTAAGATTAATATAGTTAAGGATTAACCTATTAAGGCTAATAAAGTGCTTATTATTCTAGATAGAATATAAACTTGTTTCCCCTAAATTAGTTGTCCTGTCTAAGCTAGAATTAGCGCTAGACTATAGTATACTTAGGACTAAGCGCTAAGTAGCTAGTAGCTACACTAGTGACTTAAGGCTTTAATACATTAAATCTAAACCTTCTTAACCTACTAGATAAAAGTACTTTATTAAACCTATTTATAAATAGTACTTACACTTTTAACTATAGTTAAGTCCTAAGTATTATATTATATATTAAGTGTAGACACAAGGGCTATAAGTTACTAGAATATAATAATTAGCCTCTAGCTGCCTAGGAGAAGGTAATCCTTTAGAGTATTATACTCCTATTATTATAGAGCTAAAACAAAGGAAGGTTTTCCTTAGCTAGACAAATTAACGTCTACTTAGTATAGATTTATCTATATAATATTATATAGCAAGAGGCCTATTTTAACCTTAATAATAAAGATAACTTATTAAATAATTAGGATTAGCTTAAGGGGACTACACCTAGTTATAGACTTAAAAGCTATATAGTTAAGCTTATGCTCCTAGAATAGTATAAGAAGACTTAGGACTAAAGGGTCTTAGCTAAAGCTTAGGCAGCCTCTCTATTAGATAAGGTTAGTAACTAGGTCTTAGATATATTAGCTAACCCTAAAATAGATCCTACTTATTAGATCTAACTAATTATAGGCTTAATAAAAGTAGTATTAGAGGGCTATACTAGTAGGATAATGTCTTAGAAAGATATAGTTCTTAGCCCCTTAGCAAGAAGTAGTGTACACTAAAAAAACCAAAAGAAATAGACAGTAGTCTAGCGTAAATAGATATATAACTAAGCTATATAGAAATAAGCTATCTAAAGTTACTACTAAGTATAGGCTAAGTAAGATTATTACCTTAAGCTATTAGATAATAATATATCTAATACTAATATAGACCTTTATTCTAAGTAAGTTATTTAGCCTTAAGAGACTATCTAGATTTAATAGCCTTTGTTGCCTTAGCCTATGTTACTATAATTACCTATTTAATAACTACTACTAAATTCTAAGCCTTACCCTAAGCCTACTTCTATTCCCTTAAGTATATTACTTAACCTTAGCTAGGACTAATAGTCTAAACTAAAGAAGAAGACCTAAAGACAATAGATAGGTTTAAGTCTAATTGTTAGGCGCTAAGGACAAGGGGCCTTTAATTAGGTTAGTTTAGTACAGAAGATTATAATACTTCTTAGCCTTATAGACTTTTAGTAAATT